CGGCGGCCACGGCGCCGGCGGCAGCTGCGGACGCGGCGGCGGGCGGGACGGCGCGCTTGGGCTGGACGGGCGGCATCTTGGGGGCCTGGCTGATGGAGGGCTGGGTGAAGTCGTCGTAGAAGATCTTGACGTGCTGCTTGAGCTCGCCGTACTCGTTCCACTCCTCGATCTCGACCAGGTCGCCCAGGATGAGGCCCTCCTGGACGAGGCCGGGCAGCTTGCGCGCGCGGCCCGACTCGTCCTTGCCGGCGCGGCGGCCCCACAGCATGCGGGCCTTCTCGTCGGTGGCCATGTCGATGGCCTTGAAGGGGATGCGGTTCGCGCGCAGGATGGTCTCGAGGCGCGACGTGGCCGTGACGATGTGGGAGCTGCCCGCCGTCAGGGAGGTGTAGATGTAGAGGGCCGGGTCGGTCGAGTAGGTCGCCGCGGGCTTTGCCGCGGCAGCAGCAGGCTGGTCAGCGGCGGAGGATGCCATGACGGGCGGGCGGGTGTGTGTATGTGGGTGGCTGCTCGCTGGAGGTGAGGTCTCCTTGGCGGGTGGTTAGGTAGGTAGGGAGACGGGGAGATTCACGTCGCGTTCCCTCGGCAGGACAGCAGCTTCGTGCCTCAGGCAAATCGGGCGGGTATGTCGTCGGCGGAGCACAGGTCAAGGGCGGGGCATGGGGAGCAGCAGCTTGGGGCCAGTGCTCGGCAGTGGCCGAATGAGGGGTTCACGACGGGCAGACACATGCATTGAGGGACCCCGCGCTACGGTAGAGGGGCACACTTCAATTCGGTTTCAGATCAATTGACCTGACCAATGCCAGGGCTCTCCATTGGATTGGTAGATGGACATGGCAACGAAACAAACAAACCCATCCAAATCCAGCGACGAGAGCAGAAACACATGGCAGTCTGTCGGCGCAATTGACATTGAGCGCGTCTCTATTGTCTGCATCACATGATGCGCACGGCAAGTCGCCGCAACGAACCCATCTCAGGCCCCATCTCAGGCTTGGAATGGGGTCTGGCGAGCCTGGCCGGGTCTGGCCGCGCGATTCAGGGCCTGCGCCGTTTCCGTGGCAGGCTGACCAAGACGGAACGCTGCACTCGGCTGTTGGGCTTTGTAGGGAGTGTGTAGCACGGGTTATTGCATCATTTCTGAGAAAAATCAGGCCAACACGACAGCCACGGATAACAACTGCAGCACCACAAATGCATCGGTGCACAACTCATACGAGAGGAAGCCGGCATACACAGCACAGTCCGACGCCAACGGCGTGCCGTCCACATGCGGCGTTACCGTCCTGTGCACCCCCCAAAGCGGTAAAGAAACAGAGCGCGAGGGAGAGCACTCTCGGTGGAATGCTGCTCCCAGTTGTTGGGCGACAACGGCCCCCTGACGTCGACGGCCATGGCTGGCACCAGAGACATGCTCATCTCCACCGCCGACGAGCTGGCAGATGCATGGCACGTTGGCACCAGGCCTCGTCGCCGCCGGAAATCCGACGTGGCAACCTGGGTGCGGGCTCGAGATTGCTGGTTGGGCGGCCGGATCGAATCGATTGAGCAATCGAAAAGCAGCCCAGAGGCCCAGAGGCCTTCGCCCAGATGCCAGGCCGACGACAGGCTCTTTCAACCCAGCCACCCCTTTGATTGGCCTTCTTGGCTACAGACCTTGGCCGCCGACGATTCGAGAGCCTGCACGCCGGCCCGCACAGCCCCCGGTCGCTGCTACTTCCCATTACACATTGCACCGTGCTCTGCAGTGATTGAAGTCAATGCGACCACGACGTCCGGACCAGCGGGAGAGGGAGGCTGGTTGATCTGTCGTGTTCTTTTGGCTGGTTGTGTTGTTTTTGTCCCATGCTAAGATTGACGCTGACGCACCCACACCCGCAAACTCGCACACCCTTACCCAGGCAACGCTGGTACAACACGCAGCCACATGGTGGGCGCATCACTTGTTCTTGTCAGATCTCAATGGCGCGTGTCTTGTCGTCCCTGCTGGTGGTGTGTGTGTGTGTGAGGGCCAGTGTGGTGTGTAAGCAGCCGCGTTCCTGCAGCGCTCACTTCCTGGGCAGCCACTCCTGCTGGATTCACCCGAACAGCTGCTGCAAGGCACCAGGAACAGCTGCAGCCCCTGACCCTTGGCCATGTTGGCTGGGAATTGGGGGCTGGCGCTGGCCAGTCAGAGGCCGGGTGGGCCAGTCAGAAAGCCTGTTATTCTCGGCTCCCCTTAGCCAAATGGCGAAAAATGGAGAGATGAGGAATGAGCACCAAGAGGTCGATCCCCATTCGCCCCACCGCACCCGAAATTCCCGCGCCCGTGAGTGGGCGGCGAGCATGGGCAGCGCTGGGGCTAGTGGGTTTGCAGTGGGTTCTCTCCCAGGGGCGCCGCTGGGGCGCGGGCCTGCCAGCGACCTGGCCACGCTGCCGCCCTGGTCGCGCTCACCCTGCCGAGGAGCGCCCTGGGCACGCCGTTTGTCGCCAACTGGGGCCTTGGATTAAATAGAGCGCATGGGCCCGCTCTCTGTAGCTCCGACCTCCCCCCTTTTTCCCCTTCCTCGCTCGCTCCGCACCGTTGCCCGCATCTTGCGATTCACTCTTTTAACCCCCCGAAAAGGATTTTTTCTTTCCAGCTGTTTCTCAGCGCGCCGCTCTCTACCGTCTCCTTGTCATCACCTGCCTCTGTTCAACCCCATTCGTTTCGTCCGTCGTCTTCGATCCTCGTCGGCCTTCTCACCTCGATCAAAGCAGCCCGCCTTGCTAGCCCCGATACAGCAAACGGAGCACACGCAGGTCTTCACCGATACACAAGAGTCGCCCACGCTCGCTCAACCGGCACACCCACTGTCAAGATGCTCGCTTCGAACGTCGTCTACGGCATCGTCGCCTCCTTCGCCGCCCTCGCCGCGGCTCAGACCACGTCGGGCACCACCACGTCGACGGCCACCATGACCAGGACCATCACCATCACCACGTGCAACCCCGAGGTTTCCAACTGCCCTGGCCGCACTAGCTCCACCAGCAGCTCCAGCTCTATCAGCACCGCTGTCAACACCACCACCAGCTCCGTCATGAGCACCAGCAGCACCTACTACCCGACCGCCAACCTGACGTCAGCCTTTCCCGTGCCCTCCAAGAACGCCACCTCATACATGCCTCACGCGCCCACCAAGATCGTCACTACGGGTGGCACGTCGCTGCCGCCGGCGCCTACCCTCACCCCGCCCGTAACCCTCCCCGTTGGCAGCGGCGGCAGCGCCGTCTTCTTCCAGAGCGGCCTGATGCTCGGACTCCTGGGTGCCGGTGTCGCCATCCTGGCCTAAACCCACACTCCAACAGGCCTACTCCCTCTCTCCAGCCAACCAGCCGGTCCAAGCAAATTCACCCCCAGTCGCCATTGGGGCCTAGCTGTCTCGGTTTCACCTCATTACGCTTTAATCTTCGCTTCTGTTTGCGCTCAGAGATACCCAAACCACTCAGCAATGGTACTGTTGCGTCTTAATTCTTAAAATCTACATCAGGGGACGTCGATGTTTGTTGCATATTTGGCGGAGTCGCGTTGCTTGATTTGACTGGCATTTGACGGAGCACATGTTTTGTTGCTCATCTTGGATTACGATCTGGGCTGTCAGCCGACAGGACCTGAGACAAACTACCATACCACCTCGGATGTGGCTCGTCGCGGCAGAGCTAGACCGGCTTCCATGTCTCGCTCGTTGTCGATTTGCCTCAGCAAACAACGCCGTTTTGGAGATGGTTAGGCCTTGGGGTGTCTCGGCTTTCACTTCGTGTCGCATACTTAACTACCCTGCATCACCCCCTGCCTTGTCTTCTGCTGTTGTCCCCTCGAAGATAAGGGCGAATGGGGATGGATTCGTCGGCCTGGACATAGTTGGATGGAAGCGATCAATTCATGGGATGACGGCCAAATCAAGAGAGACATTGATGATTGACAGTTTGGCGTCTTCGGTTCAAGTGAGGTGATGCTGATGTATATTGATATAAGAAGGGAAATGAAATGAACGCCTTGTAAGGAGACGGGAAGCGAAACACTTGTCCGTGGGTCTTGTCGACCCCGTCTCCCTGCAGCCCTACAAGCTTAAGATTTTGGAAGGCTGTCGACCCTCAACTCACGTCATGAATCGTCATGCGTGGTCCTCTGTGCCTGGCCTCGTGCACGTTCTTCATCCAAACACTCGTCAACTGCCAGCTGGGATGCGGCGTGGGGTGTGTGTGCGTGTGTGTGGAGTTCGAGACGGTTGGAGAGGAGGGGGCGAGGGCTGTTTTCCGGTGGATGTCACAACGGAACCAACAAACAAAACAAACACGCAGCCACGCACGCAGATACGCAGACACACAGACACGCCCGCCAACGCTAAAACGCCAGGGGCCCTCCCTCCCTCCCGGCCATCCATGCCATGCATGCAACGCACAATACATACGGCCCGCCTGTCGTTGGAGGGAGGAAGGGAGGGGGTGAGAGCGCTTCGGCTCCGTGGCCCCCCTGCCATCACATCCTACTAGGCAGGTACATCCTACCTGTCGGCCTCACCGGCCGTCACACGCCGGCGCGCGCGCAGCAATTCCTGCATCCGTCCATCCCCGCGATTGGGCCAGCAGGATATGCGTTGTGGCTGCCGCGGCATAAGCCGCCGCCCCGACCCGGTCAACAGTCCAACCCCCCTCCCTTTCCACTTCCCTTCCCTCACCCGATGCCATCACCCCCCTATCACGCGACCACCAAACCTGCCCCGAGCAGGTTCTAGTTCTGGCTCTGGTTCTGTTTCCCCACCGAGATCGACTCGGGTGAACTACCCGTCCCAAGGGGCAAGGCCACAATGGAATGTGTGCGTGACGTCTCCCAGCCCCGGCGGGCCACCACGTTTCGCCAGCTGGAACCAGGTAGGAACAGCCCTGTGTGGGCTGGGCGTCGATAGGTGGATCCCATCCAGCTGCCGAGGAGGGAAGTAGACGAACGAACCGGTAGGGGGACAGACCGGTGAAGCGGGAAAGGGGCCCTCTTTTTTTCCTTCGTTTTTTTTTTTCTTTTTCTTCTTCTTTTCCCACTTCCTCCCCCGGCCTGTCGGTCTTGTTGACAGCCACGAGAAAACGGGGCCAGAGGTTTCACCACGAACAGAGGCGGATCTGAAGCCCCCGACTGACTGCCCGACAATGAGCCAACATGTGTGTAAGCTTGACAGAGAGAGAAAAGAAAAAAAAATCTCTGACAAAGCCAAGACGCAGGATAGTTGCTCCGTCCGCCCGACCACCCACATATTTTTTTCCTTTTTTTTCTTTTTCCGCGGGGCACCATCGGGATGCCCGCTCATGCCGTCCTGCATGGCCCTCTTCCTTTTTCTTTTTTTTTGTCTCATGCCCATCTCCTAAGCCACCGAACCGGATCTGACCCCGGGGCCTTCCGCCCTAGCGGTAAGAGGGTGGGTGGGCGCAAGCTTGCGATGGGTTCGGATCATGGATATGGGAGTTTCGTCACACGCACACGGCAGGGTTGGCAACCCTTGTTTTTGTTTTTGTTTTTTGTTTTTTTTTCTTCTCCCCTCTCCGTTCCACTCGGAATTCTCTCCCTCCTTCTTTGGGCCCTTGTTTCGGGCTCTATTTTATGGGGGGAGGATGTTTTGTGTTTCGCTTTTTACCCGCTCTCCCTGTCCCCCTTCTTCCCGGGGGACTGGACGGAATATCTTAATTTTCGCTTTCGTCACCCTTGCGTCTTTGCCACGTGAACGGCCGACGCGTTCAGGCCGGGGGGGCCCCATTGCGACTTGCCATGGATGCGGTGTGCGCCAGGTAGGACATTTGCGGACCAAAGTACCAGATCATGCAGGCTCTCCCATCAAGATCCGGTGTGTCCTGCGGGAGAGAGAGAGAGGTGAGGGGCCTGCCGGGGCCATGCGCCTCCTGCAGCAATAAAAGACAAGAGGGAAAAAAAACATAAAAAAAACAACCAGGGACGGCAGAGAAGCAGATAAAAGGAATGGCAAAAGGGGACGTAGGTTCGCGTACAGCCGCAAAATCATACGGTGTCCCTTTTCGAGATACTTATACCACTTCTCCGTCGACGGTCATCTCATTCTTTCTCTCTCCTCTCTTGCTCTTACCTCTCACCTCCTCATATTTGTCTTGGCATTCCTCATTTCTCACCTCCAGTAGACTCCGAGACTCTTCCACAGCCCCTTACCGCCAGTCCAGTCTGGTTGCCAAGGCGCCCGCTCTTGTTCTTGCTAGTTCTTTTTATCTTGAGCATTCCTCCCCCTACCAGACAGACAGCTAATCACCAAACGAGCGGTCAGCTATTACCCGAGGGTACACCACGGGGGGGAGGGCGCCAAGAAAACAACCAAAGGGAGAGAGATACGGGATCGACAATGGACATGGCCTCGAAGCTTTGCGATCACCACGCCACGCCGTGCGGCTGTAAAGAGCTCGTCGACGGCAACGTCAAGCTGTGCAGCGCGTGCGAGAACAACGAGTGCGGCTATAACGACGCCAACCCGGAGAGCTGAAGGCCGTTGTGGGCTAGCACAATGTCGACGTTTCCATGTAAGCGGGACCACATCCCCCTTCTCCTCCCTTCTTTGTGAGCCTCCTTCCTCCCTCCTTGTCTACCTACCGACTCTCGGCTCACAAAACGCCAGAGAGCTCCCACAGCCACCTCACCGACGGGTAAGCACGGCCCGCTGTTCCGTCACCCGCCTAGTTAAAAAGGCGGGGGGCGCTGGGCCAAGAGAGCCAGCTGCATGTGTGGGACACGTGAAGCCGATGCCACTGCCATCGAGATTGGAAAACAACCTGCAAGGGTAGAGGAACGCCTAGTAGAGGGACGCCTAGTAGCAGATTCCACCGGTGCAGGGGTCTGCGTGTTTTCATGCCGCGTATCACGGGGTTGTGTTCACGGGGTTGTGTTCACAGGGTTGTGCATATAGAATGAGCTAAAATCGGCCGTTCAGATTGGATCCCTAACTACAGACTGTTTTGAATAGAACAAAGATTTTAGTCTTGGAGACGTGGTGCGCTGTGCCTTCGCGCCCCCCCACATCAGCATCGGCACCGGCATCGAGGGCCTTTTTAGGGCGGTGAGCCATCCGTAACCGATCCGTACGGCATGTCGTCCCATTGGCCGAAGCAGGCGTGGTCGTACCTGGCTAGTCCGGCCATCTTCTCCTGCGAGGACACGAAGGCCTCGAACTCGCACCAGCCGTCGACCCGAGAGGCGTCGCACTCTGGGAGACTCCATCCTAGCGGCACCGTGCGCTGGTTCAGCACAAAGTGCACGTATTTGGTCTCCCCGCCTTCCACGTACCCGGATCGGTCGGCCGCCAGCGGCTTGGGGGTCCGGATAATCTCAATGTCGAGCCGCGCCCCAAAGGGCACAATGTGTGAAATGGTCAAGTTGTGCTTGCCCGGGTAGGACGACGGCGGGAGCAGCTGCGAGAATTGGCGCAGTCCAAATGCTGTGAGGATTGACACAATGTTGGTGTCGTGGGAGAAGTCAAAGTACAGCGTTTGGTTGAGCGGGAACGTTTCGGTATTGTTGTCCAGCGTGACGTTGATCTGGGACCCAGAGTAACCCAGCGTGTGATTTTTGAGCCGCGCCATCACCTCTTGTTGATACCCGATTCCCGTCGCCCTCTGCGTGTTGCGTCTTGCGTGAGTAGGTCGCGGGGTTCTGGGACCAGCACAAAGGCAAGCATCAACATGTATTACGTACCCCAATGGGTGACTGGAAAGCAGCGTTCCCAGCAAATCCGAGGTCGATTGCGTAACTGAACCCTATCCACTCTTCGTAGGTGAACAGGTCGCAGAAGCGGCTGAAGCCATAGGCAACCTGTCGTGAGGACGGCGAGGTTAGCAAGTCAGTTCGTGCTGACAGTATATATATCTTCCCCATGAGTTGGTGCACTCCCAGTTTCGTATGGACAAAGATTTTGGGCTGCAAGCGAGTCTTCGATGGTCCAAATATACCCCTCGATCATGGGTCGGAGTCGTGCCGTCGCTATATATGAGCACTTCGTCAGCAGCTCTCTCAAATCAGGCCCTCACATCCAAGATGGTGGCTTTGCGTACCATTTTGCAGGTAATTGTCGATCCAGATGTTCGCGGCCTCATTGCCGGGCTCGCTCTTCCGAGAATTCGGGCAGTTGAGGTAGCCGGCAAGGGAATTGTTGAACCCTTTCTGTTCAATGATGACCTCGATGGTGGCATTGCGAGTCCTGGGTCAGTTGTTAGCGAGGGACAGGTTCATGTATGAAGCCTGCAGTACGCACCATTCTAGGCCGAAAAATCCGGCCAGGAAGTACTCGGCCGACTTGAGCATGCGATCTTGAGTCGTAGTCCGAACGATTATTTTGGACGCCGGGCTGTAAAGACCTATGTAGTTGTATGCGTGTAAAATACCTGCCCGAATTTGTGTTAGCATAGGCGGAAGGGAATGGCAGATGGCCCGGCGGATGAAATACGCTGTCCGTCAAGCGGGACCTACCCGAGTCAAAGAGCTCTTGTCGGCCTGGGATGCTGCAGCGTCAACAATTTATTCATGTGGTGGTAGCTATCGCACTGCAGTGGCGTATGCGTCGTGATGGAGCCGAGAGCCAGGTCCCGCCTACCTCGTGGCACCAGGATTTCGTGGCCCAGTTGATACTTCCAGTCGTTGAGGAAAGACAGAGGCCCGGAGGCCTTGAACTGCTTGTCTTTCTTGGCTGAATGGATTCGGTCACCAAGACCGACGACATTTGCCCCTTTTGTGGGGTATCGAGAGCCGTGACGTGATAGCATCTGCAGACGTGATAGTGATTAGGGGCAGGCACATTACCGCCAAGAAAAAAATTACTGATCGGGGGCGCACCTGGACCTGCAAGATTTCTGCTCCGGGCGGTAGTGAATATTCGGAAACGCCGAAGCCCGGGGAAGGTGAGTAGGGAGACAGGTAGCTGCAAGCACGTTGCCCAGAGTCAGTGTATCGGTAGATTACCGAGGCAATATAGCTTCACAGGCGTGGGCACGAACCCCATCATCTGAAAGATGCTCGTGTTATCGGGAGTCATGCCCTGGATGGGGATTGCCGTTTGCAGGGGAGCATTGGGCACGTAGGTGGCCGTCGGGTCAAAAGTGACCGTCTGGCGGAGGAAGGGCGCCTTGCCCGTGGCCGTCGGGCCGGCCCAGAGCTCCGGCGAGGTCTGAAAGTACTGTGGCACGTCGGGCGACGGGGCGCAGTGGCACTGGCCCTTGGACACGGCGTCCGCGTCGACGGGGGCGAAGACGGACGAGCCGTCGACGACGAACTTGACGGCCAGGCCGAGGGCCACGCAGGCCACGACGACCACGACCACGACCCTCCTAGACAGCCGAAGCTGTTTGGGGGGACCGTTGAGGGGCGAACCGGCGCCGACGGTGGCGTCGTCGGGGGCGTCATGGTCGTCATCGGCGGCGGACACGGGCTGGTATCCGGCTGCACGGCCCGGGGTGGGTCTAGAGCGCGTCAAGGTCGTCGCCATGCTTGTGGCGTCAGGAAGCTTGATCCCCATTGCGTCCGGGGCTCGAGGCAGTGGTGGGGTGGAGAGAGGGAAGAGCCAGCAGCCTTCTCTTCTGCCAGATGCACCAGGTTGTGCCAAAAGGGTTGAGCTGCCCACTTGGCCTCTGAGAATTGATGGTTTCTACTATGCACGTTGAGACGCGATCAGAAGGTACGGTACCAAAGGAATGACGTTGGGCGCCAAGCACGTGGGTGCGTCTGGCTTGGACCAATGAGAGGCCGGCTGTGTTGTATTAGGTAAGCAGGCTTGGACCAATGGATTAAGTAGATGGCATCAAAAGCTGAAGAGTCGCGAACGACATATTGCTCGTGTCGGTACGGGTTATTGTGTAGATCTAGACAACGATTGTATTTCTGTACATGTATACTAGCTCGTCGGCTTTTGTCTTGTTTTCTTAGCCTGCTCATGCAATGCCGCTCAGTCGCCTGTCTCGCGGATTCCTTACCATCTGTTTCATCCAATTATCGATTGTCCAGTAATCGAGAAGCCGGTTAGAAGTAGATACCCCAAGCTGCGTGAGTTGAATCAGACTTTCAACAGACTTGGCAAAGTGGACCACCAAAGAAGTAAGACAATCCAGGGACATCTCAAAAGCCGAAGATGGTGGTGTTGCAAGCTGCAGGCAGAATCCGGAGGACGATGATGGCATCCGGGCCTTTGGGACTGGTGGCCGCCAAGTGATAAGAGTCGAGGGAGGCTGTAACTGTCACGTGCGCACCCTCGTGCTTGGATTGTGTGCTCGGAGAGACCAAGACCTGGAGACTTGAGCACTCCGCTCCCCGTCTCAGCCCGCAAAAAGCCAGGGGAAAGGGCTCGCCCGGGATGAACACGGGTTCCTGGCAAGGTGACAGATCCAATTTGCTGTCGTCAGAGCAGCGGTGGGCCCTGATTGGCTGGTTCCGCTCAAAGATAAGGCGTGCATGGATATCGGCGGGGCTGGGCCTAGCGCCGCGCTAAAGGGGGGTGATCTTCCCCGGCTGGAGGGATTGGGGCGGGTCCTGGTCGCCAAGCAACAGATGTGCATACTTTCTGGGCAGCCTCCAACCTGGAACTCTATGAGAGGTCATCAAACGCAAAACAGAGCCTGGTAGGAGAAAGGGATGGCAAGGTTTGAGACACCCACAATCAAGGAAGCCGTCGTAGTGTTCGGGCACTCCGACGCTTTGAGGTGTCCGATATAGACACAGCGGTAGTTCGTTCCGGTGTTCAGGTGTTGGTAGCTAAACGACAGCCAAGCGAGCCGGACGCAACCACATGCGTACCCTACTGGACACCTGGTACTGACCGACATCCGACCCCAAGTTGCTTTTGGGCGACGCCATGTCTTGCCGAGCCCGCTGCGAGGGTGAACGGGTTGGTCAATGTTGCCAGAGCACAAACAGCATCTCAACTGGTCAACGGCAATAACAAAACAGCTCACTCTTGGAGATGTGCGCACACATTTGATGCTGCCCATTCTCACTTTGGGTTTCTAGAAGAAAGCGGGTCGACATGCGACGGAGATGCCCAAAGCAGGGTTTCTGCTCCCTGCCCGAACCGCCAGGGGCATGGCCAGATCCCCGGTCGCGCAGCCCCGCAGTTGGGTGGCATGTTTTCTGCCCTGGCCGTGTAAGCCGTGTTACTTATCGCTGCGTAAGGCTTTTTGGTCAGACTTTTCAGGGGGCGTTTGTCCTCTCAAGACCGATTCCCACGCTCCGCCTAGAACCCGGTGGTTGTGACAGGGCGCAAGGCGTAGCACGGCTGCTGCTAATCTCAGCTGGCACCATTTCTCGATGGATGCGGGCAGCCGTACCGAGGCAAGCGTTGGTGTGAAACCCTAGGGTAGGCTTGGGGTTAGTTGGGGTTGGCAGAGCGGGATGCTGCGAGAAGGGAATTTGCGCACACGACAACTGAATAAAAAAAATAAAAATAAAAAGCGCGTGATTCTGGGCGGGCTGAAGGGCCCAGGTCTGTGGTCGCTGCATGCCATCAGCTCAAGGGGTTTGCGTGGGGGTTTAGATACAGGTGTGTGTGTACCGTACCAGTACATCTCTCCTTTGCAGTATCGCTCGTTTCTAGTTTTTCCAAGCACACTAGCTAGCACCATTGGGCCAACGTTGTGGCATTGCTGAAACCGCCAAAAGGGCCAGGAATAGAGAAAGAAAGAAAAGAGAGAAGAAATAAAAGATAAGACTAGTGATCACCAGGTAAGCCCAAGTGAAGGGATGTGCTGTCGCGCTGCTTTGCCACCAGCTTGATACTGCGCTAGCGGATCCTCCAGGATGGTAGACGCCAACCAGCACGGGCGGCTGTGAATGGTCAACGCGGCGCACACACCACTGTGGCCGATCGAGTCCAAGAATTCCAAGGCGTAGGAGAAGACGTCCAGCTTCGATTACCACCTCTTAGCAAAGCACATTGCATTCCGACAAGCATCCTTGGCTGCAGATCGGGTGCGTTCGATAGGGAGGTTCAGCAGCACTCAACGCTCGCTCTGCCTTTGGGAGCGTGCTTCAAAAGAGGCGTGCTTCAAAAGAAGCGTGTTTCAAAAGAACTCAAAAGAAGCGTGCTTCAAAAGTCACAGAAGTTGAGCTCCAGGCATTGACTTCAATCAAGCAATTAGTCGGGTGCCAGGGAAACATAACCCGCTGTAATTGGGAGAGAGAATGCCCCCATAAGGGGGTAGGGCGTATCCGTTATCAGTGACGTGACTCGGAAATACATCATTGTTGTTGTCATTAGCTGAACTAATGCCCACGCCAAATAGGGATCGAGGCCGGTTGAAATCTCGCGAATCGACAGGGGATGGCCCTGCTGTTTTTTTCAACCCCTGTCGCTTTCTTGGTCGCGGCACTGCAACCGCGGACGAGCCGGGGATCGGGGACGTGCAGGTGGGGGTCCTTTTTTTTTTCTTTTTTTTTTTGGTGAGGACATTGATACAGGTCAGCCACTCTGACAGAAATGGGCTGGTCATGGATAGTAGCTTTCCCGTCTTGCTGTCCCTCCCGCGTTTTCTCTTCTTTCTTTTATCTGTTATTTTTTGACAGCTTTTGCCTTTCGACACACTTGGCGTCTTGGACGTAGCTAATCCTGGGTGTGAGCACAGGATGTTGGAGCCCTGCGAGCCTGTCAGCCCTCGGGGTTGGGCAAGCTCATCCCACGTAGTTTGGGGGAAATGTTTTCAGCCGATAGAGGGAGGCAATTAAGAAAGACGAACGAACTAAAACGGGGAAGGGCCCGGGGGTACGACGCTACGGGAAAAGAAGGGCTCGACACCCGTCCGCGTCGACCGAGCCAGCCCACAGCCCAAAGTAGGGGTACATTGCCCTCCTCTCCGCCCTCGCTCCTGTTTAAGATGGCACGCCCGCACCTCCGCTTTTCCATATCAATGCTGGGGGAGGCATGCTAGTCGTATGCACGCAACTGCAACGAGCCCACACACCCACACACCCGGCCCCGTTTTTGGTAGGACGACACATGCACCCGGGGGCTGGAGGTATAAATATATTGAGAAAGCATCCCGCCCGCACCCGGCCGCTTGGTCTCGTCCCAGCCCAGCTCCGCCCGCCGCGTGTGACGAGTCCCAGTCCCGTCCCCACGTCGACCCTGCCTGCAGTCGAGTTGTGATCGACGACGCGGGCCAGACAGACACAGCGTCTGACGCCGTCCACGACAACGCCTCCGTTCCTTTGTCCTCCCCCGAAAACGACACGGGCGATTCGGTACTACATCCTCCATCTGTTGTTCCTCTGATCTCGCTCACGCGACAAGTTCACCCTCACCATGTCATACTCGTGGATAGGGGCGCCAGCCCAGTTTGTACGTCGTCCCGTCTTTCACCCGAACCCGCCGTCTTCTCTCCCTCTAATTCTCGGCTCTAATTCTTGGCTGACCGGGCACAGAATGGCACCAATGCCGACCTCGGCGGCGACTCGGCCACCGAGAACCTCAACCAGTGGTACCAGTCGGGCGACCAGGCCTACATCCTGATCGCGTCGGCCCTGGTGCTCATCATGATCCCCGGCATCGCCTTCCTCTACTCGGGCCTCGCTCGCAGAAAGTCGGCCCTGTCCATGATCTGGGTCGTCATGATGTCCTTCAGCGTCGTGATTTTCCAGTGGTATTTTTGGGGATACTCGTTGGCCTTTAGCTCCAAGACCACCAATGGCTTCATCGGCGACCTGCACAACTTTGGCCTCATGAACGTGCTCGGCAAGCCCTCCCAGGGCTCCGTGCTCATCCCCGAGCTGCTCTACTCCTTTTACCAGATGCAGTTCTGCGGCGTCACCGCCGCCCTCGTCGTCGGCGCCACCGCCGAGCGCGGCCGCGTCGTCCCCGCCATGGTCTTCACCTTCTTCTGGGCCACCATCGTCTACTGCCCCCTCGCCCACTGGGTCTGGAACGCCAACGGATGGGCCTTCAAGTACGGCGTCCTCGACTACGCCGGCGGCGGGCCGGTCGAGATCGGCTCCGGCATGTCCGCGCTCGCCTACTCGTGGGTTCTGGGCCGCCGCAACGAGAAGATGATGCACAACTTCCGCCCGCACAACGTCTCCCTCATCACCCTCGGCACCATCCTGCTCTGGTTCGGCTGGCTGGGCTTCAACGGCGGCTCCGCCTTTGGCGCCAACCTTCGCGCGGCCGTGGCGTGCTGGAACACCTGTCTGACGGCCATGTTTGCCGCCATGACCTGGTGTCTGCTTGACTTCCGCCTGTCCCGCAAGTGGTCTCTTGTCGGCTGGTGCTCGGGCACCATCTCGGGTCTTGTTGCCGCCACGCCCGCCTCGGGATTCATCCCTCCTTGGGCCAGCGTCCTACTTGGCGTCGTCACTGGCGTCTGCTGCAACTTTGGCACCAAGAGTATGTATAATTTGTCGACACCATTTTGTCTAGGGGCTTTTCCGCCCTCACCCTCACGCTCTCGCCCTCTCTTTCATACCATCCCATGAGTCTAACAATATCCGTCGCGATTCTACAGTCAAGTTTCTACTCCGTATCGACGACTCCCTCGACGTGTTCGCTGAGCACGGCATTGGCGGCATCGTCGGTCTCATCTTCAACGGCTTCTTCGCGGCCGACTACATCATCGGACTCGACGGCGTCAACACGGGCGTTGTCACTGGAGGCTTCCTCAACCAGAACTACAAGCAACTCTACGTCCAGATCGCCTTTATCGTGGCCTCCTCAGTCTACGCCTTTGTCGTTTCTGCCGCTCTGGCCAAGATCATCGACCTGATCCCCGGCCTCAAGCTTCGCGCCAGCGAAGAAGCTGAGCTGATCGGCATGGATGATGGTACGTAGTGACTTTTTTTCCACAACCCGAACTAACCAATCTCTCACCACAACGCTCACGAACCATCTCTAACGTTTAAACAATAACAACTCAGATCAACACGGAGAATTTTGCATGGACTACGTGGAGTATCGTCGGGATGTGATGGCTTGGACGCCTCCCGTGAAGGTGGACGGGGTTGCTGTGCCACAACTGGGCGTCGAGGGCCACCAAGCCCTCCACGACAGCATTATCAACGGCAAAAAGACTGAAGATACCGCCCCTCAAAGCCCCCAGACTGAGAAGAGCTCCGTCAACAAGACCTCAGTGGAGCGTCCTGCTACTTGATCTGCCGTCATGAGTGCAGCGAGGATACCAGCTTTTAATTAAATTTATCAATAGTTTTAGTTGCTTAGACCGGTATCACCCATGCCCGGAGAGGGCGGGCTCGGGGGCCACACGCGGCCTGGAGAAGGGTGGGTAGGGGGGCTCCTGGCATTGGCGGATCCGGGGGATTGGGAGCGGAGGAACAGGCTTCGGTGATCTGATCGTGTATAATACCTGTATGTTTTTGACTGCACCCTCTGGCAGGTAGATTTCTTTCCTATTGATTCCCATTACAATGTTCCTTTCTAATGGTTCGTGCCTGGATATTCATCCTTTGGCAAACGCCAAGGCTCAACCGGGCCACTTGTAAATGCACCCTGGGTGGATGGCAACAGGGGCGAGACACCCGAATGAGGGTTGAGTGGGGGTGAGGCCTAGTCGAGGTCGGGCCAGGCCCGGGCCATGATGCAGTGGGGCCTCGGGAGGAAGGCCCGATTCGGGGCCGGGCCGGGTGGAGGGGCCTGAAGCTCCGAGGTGCTGGCTCCGCGTGGGGAGCGCCTGGACCCGTCCGGTTTTGCCGGCCAGCGTGGGAGCGCGCGGGGCTTCGGCTTGGGGAGGGGCTTGGGCTTGAAAGAGGGACATGGCAACGGGGGAGTTTGCCACTTTGGCGAGAGGAGTCTTCTCGACAGACACCTTCAACCAGCTGAGGACTGGACCTTGGGTTGCGCGACCTAATCCTATATACAACCAAGAAATCGCCATGATCCTTGACCCCTAGGTACTTTTGCGCCACTTGCGAAATGCCTCGACCCAGCCTTCATGCCACCAGATGCGAATGCCTCAACCTAAACCTCGTACCGCCTGGGGCAAATGCTTGGATGGAAACCAACGCCAAATCAAGAAAGAAAAGGAGGCAAACATACAATGAACTGTGGGCGAGAAAACGAGTGAATCCATTATACCACCATGTCCAATTCGAGGTCTCACGGCGCGCTTACTCGGTCCGCTGGCGCTTGTTGCCACGACTCTGGGGGGGCATCGCCGGAGCTGGTGCTTTGGCCGCCCTACGTTGGAGGTCTGTGAGTATAACCAATGCCTCATGCAAATGACGAAGTGCATTGTTCGCCATGTCAAGATCAATGACTGTCTGAGTAGCAGCATCAACCAGGTCCAAGTTGGCTGTAGTCCCATTGACATTTCGCTCGAGTGACTCGATGGCTGCCGCATCGTATGCCCTCGATGCCCGACGGAGTGTACGGCCAAAAACCAGAATTGGAGCGGCCAAACTTTGGATTCCCTCCTTAGCGAGGGTCGCTGTCGCCGCCCTGAGCCTGGAGGTGTCGAATCCGGGGTCAGAGTCCAAGTCGGAGTTAGAAACGGAGACGGGACTAGAAATGGAAATGCTGTTCGACCTTGTCGACAGCGCCACTTGTTGGTAACCCTCGCCCGGCGAGGGGGTACCGTGCGAGTTGGGATCGGAGCCAGAGCGGGAGCTAGAGCGGGAGCGTGGGACAGAAAGGGAGCCGGAGGCGAGGCCGGAACCAGAGCTGGGATGGGAGCCAGAGCCGGAAATCCTATTGGGCGCTGTTGACGGCGTCATTTGTTGGTCCTTTGCATCCGACATGAGGCTGCCGCATGTATATTCGGGCTTCTTGCTGGCTGTTTTTGAACGGGAGTGTTTGCCGGCCTGAGTGATCCCGTCTATGCGCGGATTAGAAGGAGAGTAGTTAGAGGCATGCTTACGTTAAATATCAACATGAAACATCAGGGTGCTGTGAATGAGCCCTACCGGTGGCTTGCTTCTTTCCGGAACCGGAATCCTTGACACCGACGGCAGCAGGTGCCTTCTGAACGCTACCTAGGTCTTCGTTCGACCGGACCACGTTGGCTTTCTCGACAGGCTGGCCACCGCTGGTCTCGCCGGGACGAAGGGAAACCGAGCCAGTGTCAGTTTCCCGGTGGACGTGCCGTTTGTTGTTCTTGGATGCCGGCCGCTTGGCCACAAGTTTTGGGGCATCCATGGCCTTGTTTTTGTGCCGATTGTCGTTCTTGGACGCCGGCCGCTTGGCGACGTCCTCTTCGGCGGGACCGATTTCGCCAAGCTCGGCAGCAAAATCAGTGTGCAGATCGGGGTTCAGAAGGGAGTTCCTGAGCACAGGATTCTTGGCTATGTCCTCTTGGTCGTCGCCGGCCTCGTCGACGTGAGAGTGCGCAATAGGGTCGCCTTTGGCCATCTTGGCCTTCTTGTGCGGAGCTGGCTGAGGCGTTTGAGGCGTGGTACTGGTCGCTGAGCTCGGCTGCTTCACCCGCCTTTGCTTAGCCAGCCTGTCCGTGGGCGGCAAAGGTGTATACACCTCTGGCGCCTTTTCGGCCTTGGGTGCCTTTGGCAAAGGCATCTCGCAGCTTTGCGTAAATTGTTCTTAACCTCGTGGCCTTGCTTGGCTTAAACAGCTTAGCTGAAGCTGTACACGAACCCGGTGGTGCAGAATGAAAGAGAAGTTGGGTTAAAGGTTTGGATGGGGCTGAAAAAAGCAGTGCATTGTAAGTAGTTATAAAAGTGGGGCTTCCTTCTCAGATACTTCTCGTCAATATCACCAACCTGAACCTCTTTTTATTCTTTCAACCACGCAGGATCCGTCATGGCGCAAGGGCTGCGCTGGTAGTCAACCACCTGCCGCACCTTTAGTTCAGAGAAGTTTCCCAGCCGCTTTTACTACGCATCCTCTTTGTGCCAAGGGCCATAAAGACGGCTTCAATATGCCTGCACCGGGGCGGGCGCTCCGCTCCAAAGGCGAGCAGGGCTACGTGGTGCGGTACAAGAAAGGTACCAAGAACGTGGCCACTGACCCTGCTGAGTGGGAGTCTAACCGCACTCGCTTTCTTGGCGCCATCGCACCATTCGACATATTGAGTGACGGCCAGCTTCAGAACGACAAGTCAATCCCTTCCAATGTCACAAAAAAGCCCATTCCCCCTCTCTCGGAGGGACTCTTGGCAATCATTCTGGAGCACATGTACTCCAAAGGCTTCGCGAAGAAGCCAATCACGAACCACGTCGATTCCGGCATAGTTGACGCCCTGCCCACTCTGTTCAGAGAAGAAAAGGATTCGCTGGAACTCATGACTACTCAGCACGGGTGGATCGAGAAGCAGGTTCGGGAACAGCGGGAACCGAACGAAGAAAAGGAAGTTTGCCGAGCCCGGATAAGGCAGGAAGTAAAAGCCAGCTATGCCATGCTGCGCATGATCTCCAGCTCTCATCCATACGCCGACCACTATTCTGACAAACAGCTCCTAATCGCCAGCGTGAAGCGAGCACGCAAGTACAACGACAATCTTCCAGACATCGGTCCCGACCTGAAGGGCCAGGCGGTCGATCCCGAGGAGTACCGCGAGAAGTACGCTTGGGGTGACTGGTCCACCGGAGGCGTTCCCAACAAGAACTTTCTTCCGACTCAGGTGATCGGTAAGTTATCATCTCTGCGCCTGTCATTATGCCTATCCATGTACTTTAGACTTACAAGTCGGTTTTCGGCTTAGATTCCTTCAGCCTTCATCACCTTGAACAGTCCCCTTTTGCCAGATTTCTACTTGCCAGCGCGGTCGGCACCGGCAAGACGCTCACCTACGGTCGCACCATCGAGCTAGGCGCATGTCGACTAGAGGATGAGGTCCAGAACGGGAAGACCATTGAATGCGGCCCGAGCCTGGTTCTTGTCCCCGCACGGCTCGTCTACCAGACGGCTATGGAGCTATGCGACAATTTCCCTCAGTTGAAAATCCACGTGTATTATGGATCGGCGACCGCGACGCATGCATACATGCCGGGCATCACCTTGCGGTGCGAAGGCTAGAATCCTCTCATCAAAGAATGCGCCCAGAGAAAGCATGTACCCAAGACAGCTCGCATCGTCATCATCTCCTCATATCCGACCTTCTTCAAACGCCATTCGGAAATAAGTAAGAAAAAGGTCTTCTACCACAAGGGCCTTCCACCTACGCCTAGCCAATACGACTCTCTGCACTGGGGGGACAAGAGCCACAAGAAATGCCGGCGTATGTTCCGTGATAACGACGAGGGAAAGGATGAGTACTTCCTCGACAAGAAAGACGGGTAAGTTGCCCTTTGTTCTTTTTGCCCTTGACAATTTGAAATACGTCTAACATTTTGTCTCTGTTCTAGCCCCGCCACTGTGTTGCACAAGTGGGTTAAAGTGCTCGACCTATACCTCTCCTACACAGAGATCATGTTTGAGCGTGTTCTTTGTGATGAGGCCAATGTTCTCCGCAACGTGGCGGGCAAGTACCACCGCATGGTACGAATGATACCTTGCCGGTACCTAGGGTTTATCGCGGTCACGCCAACCTCCAACCGTATCACAGACCTTCACGGCTTTGTCAGCTTGATATTCAACCACGCAGGCCTTCACGTTCGTCCGCCCCAGGGGTTCCTCCTCGACAACAGCCACAATAAGCCCACCGCTTCAGGACAAGACTGCTGGTTCACGGAAGAGACGCCACAGCGGGCGCGCCGGGGCCTTATGAGGCTGCAAGACATGGGCTGGGAGTGGCACTTGGCGAACCCCTTGTTTTCGGGCCGTATCGTCGATAAGCACAACCCTGACGCCGTCAGTCAGCGGCTGTACAAGGCAGCGGGTGTGTTCACGGTTCGGCGCGACATGGCTACGCCCTGCAAGCTGCCCAACGGCGCCATCGCCTTCCCGAAGGATTCCATCACCCCGCGTCGGATTTATTCCGAAACCCTCAAATTCGACAGAGATCACGATGTCCTGGTCCATGAAACAGATCTTCTTCTCAAGGATATGGCGGTCGAGTTCTTGGACGATGGAGATGTCGGCGAGGATGGAGACGCCGGCGAGGATGGAGACGTCGGCGAGGATGGAGGCATCGGCGAGGATGGAGACGCCAGCGAGGATGGAGACGTCAGCGAGGAAACTAGCGCCGAGGAAGTGTCCACAGCCTCAGCCAGCAAACAGTTTACACTGACTTTCATCCGCGCCCTCACCATGGCAGCCATTGATTACAACAACTGGAAGATGCTTATGACATCTCGTTCTATCCGCGCCATGAAACCAGGTGAGCTCGAGGGTGCCATCTATTCCCAGCTGGCGTTGCGCGACCCGTTCCTGACGAGGCCCAAAGATGCCAAACAGAAGACAGTCACTCAGCGCCATGTACTCAACAACGCTTTGAGCCGAGGAGGCAGGGCTGGCTGCCTCTGCGTCGAGGCTGTCAACAAGGTCCTTAGTGTCTGCTCGGACGGCCCTCTGTCATGGGTCTTCAGAACGGTGAAGAACGATCCGGTTTCGATCCCGCCATCAGGACGCAGCAAAATGCTGCGTTTCAACCTCGCCACCTCTCCCATCAATACCCGGGTGCTGGAATTGTGCAATCTCTACAGACAAAGAAAGGAACGAGCGATTGTGTTTGTCAACAGTCCGCACACACAGGCGGTTCTCGTCGCTCTTCTCGCCAAAGCCTCCTTCGGCGTCGCCACCATCCGCTCGCATATGAAAGTCCACGAACGCAACAAGTACATCAAAGACTTCAACTCTCTACGCTCGGATGTCGACGTTTTTGTTCTGAACACCAACATCCACATCAGCGGTCTCAACCTGCACCGCCAATGTTCGAATGCAATAGTTGCCTTCCCGGCCTGGAACCACGACACCATTTCCAAAGCGATTGACACTGTTTTTCGGGTTGACCAGAAGAAGGCGGTGGAGGTTCGCATCCTGAAAGTCGCAGATTCCGTCTTTGCATATCTTGAATGTCGAGCCGACATAAAATACGTGCATCAAGTGATGCATCTGGTGCCAAAGGAGGCCGGCGAGGCGCCGTTGCTGAAGATGCTGGTGGGCTTCGAGATCATATCGATCCGCTTTGGCACACACCCATTCAACCACTTCTCCTGGGTGGCCGAGCCGCCCCAGTCTGTGGTAGAATTCTACTCGGATCGGCAGCAGCGGATGGGCGAGTTCTACTCCGCCTTGGTCAGCCTCATTCTCAAAGGCCGGCCTGACGACGAGGTGATGAGCCACACACGCGACTGTGTGCTTGACTTCCTGCGGGTCTTGGGCCCGGCGTGGATCGACAGGGAGTACCAGGCCGAGTTCGGTGGCCGAATGGTTCAAGGAAAGGTCAAGAGCATCCCGATGTCCCTCGAGCCCGCCAAGGTGACTTGGGATCGGATCCGGCTCGTCATGGCCTGGATCCAAAGCAATTACAACTACTACGAACCCCGCAGCTGGGTCAAGATGATCGGTGTTCCGGACTCGTGGACTGCCCTGAACCCATTTGTTGGCATCGGCCTCATGGACGACAAGGACGCCGAACTGTACCCACAGGACTTTATGCGGCACGATCTTTCCGACCTCGCCGACAGGGTCGGAAAGGACGCCGCGCGCCCTTGGTGCAAAACCTACGCCGAGGACAAGGCCGCGCATGAGCGACAGAAGTCGGCGGCCAAAAAGGCTGTGGCCTCCGAGACGAGCGGAAATGACGCGCCGGCCGCGTCCTCAAGAAAGCGCTCACGCTCTGCGTCAGCAGACGCCGAGGAGGGCGCTTCCAAGCGCAACTGCAGAAAGTGAAAGACACTATTGGCACACCCACAGCCCAACCACTGTCGATGGCATTCGCTCACCTGTTGTTGCTACCTTTTCTTTTTTGCTAGCTCCGGTTGGTTCATCTTCCATTATTCTCTGGTTATTGCAGCCGCCCTTTCGAACAAGGCATTCTTTCGGTATTTCTCCATCTTTTTTATGACTGGCACCATCACTTGCAGGGCACTTCCAAAAGGAAGTTTTCTTCTTTTCTTTTTGCGACAGCTGCCGTCATATCTGCAGGATATTTGCAAGGGAAGTCCACCATCTTCCTCTCTAGCAGCAGCTGCTGCCATAATTTTTGGCAGGACAGTCTTTAGGCTCTCCTTCATTTTCTATGAGTGCTGGCGTTCCTCGGGTTGGGTACTTTCCATGGGAATTCCAGTATTCCTGCTGGCAGCAGTAGCTACCATCGTTTCAAATACAATTTCTTCCACATCAGCTGCCGACATTTCGGAACACTGCAGAGTCGGGGCGTTAGTAACTTCAGTCTTGACGTCACTAGAAGCTACCTCGGCTGCACGGGTGGAACTCAGATGACCGTAACTTTGTCAACTACCCGACAACCACTCCCCATTTAAAATCCGTGAATCCTCCTTCCAAAAGCGACGGCCAGGTCCGTCGGCCTCAGCATCCCACTCCAAGGCCGTCCGGTTCCAATCGACGCCGACATTCAGCTTTATCGAACCCACACAGTGTACGGATACCGGCTACGATGGGGAGTCTAGTCTTCAATTACTACGATGGCCGCGATATCACGGACGCCATGCTCGAAGCTGCCGCCAAGCTTTTCAACAACAACTACGGGATCTGGGACGAGCGCCTAGGCAGAAAAGGTTCGTGATATGGCCTGACTATCCTTCACCGAACCCTCTTCCTAACTGGCCCGTGTTTGATAGGTCGGGTAAAGCTGAGCGCCCGCCGGCTTCGGGAAAACTATCTGCCACAGGGCGCCACGACAGTCTACGCCAGTGTTACCAGCGATGGAGCCCTCGTCGGCAACGTCTTCGCCTGCCGCTGGCGATGTGGCGACAAGTCGGTTTGCTGGGTGACGCAGCTGGTCGTGGCTCGGGGCTTTCGCGAAAGGGGACTCGCCAGCTCTCTCCTCAGGCTGATGCGCCAGGACACCGACAGTATCTATGGCATCATGAGCTCTCACCCTGCTGCGATTCTAGCCTCGGCCAAGGCCTTCGGACGTAAGTTCCAATATAAATCTACCTCGGCGCGAAGAGGGTGCCCTGATGCTGATACATTTTGACCAAGGGACCTTCGCGCCACTGGATCTCGACTTCATGCGGACACAAGCTGCCGCTGTCATGGTGGAATCGCCCATCTCCTATGTCAAAGATGCCAAACTATCCGGGTCCCTCTTCCTTGACGACACCAGCGGGCTCGTGGCTGGGGTTGATACACGTTTCTTTCTCGACCACACAGAGCCATCCGAAGCCCTAGAGAGGAGGAGAAAGCACGGGTGGCCGCTAGGAGTGCTGCCAGCTGGCCATGAGTTTATTCTTGTTCTTCAGGTCTAGCATCGGCGGTCCCGGTCCCTGTAGTATCTCCACCAAACACTGCGGGGTTTGATGGGGCTTTGCCAGGCGCCCGACTCCAGTGCATGTCCGATAGTTTATACGGAGGAAAGGGGGCTATAAGACCAGGGCGAAACGAAGCCCTGGAAGGCAAACAGAAGAACCTGCGATACACCATAACTAGGTACTACTTAAACCTGCCCTACACCTGGGAATGCCACTGCGGCAGAGCTGAACCTCCAAGCTCTTCCCCGTGAAGACCCTCTGGCATTATAGCGCCGACTACATCGTCCAGCATTGGCATGCATTCGCCGAGACACGCAAGGCGTGGCGGCACAGCCGTTTATACGGAACAAATGGGTAACAAAAAGCGGCAAAAGTGCAAAAATGTACTTCTCCCCTCCCAGAATCGAACTAGGGACCTTTCGATAACAATTTTGAACAATTACAGTCGAACGTGATAAACCAACTACACCAAGGAGAGCCGATTGAGTGGTTGAATGCCGGGAGGCGCGATTCAGCGTTTATCAATCCCGCTTGGCGTTTGACACGGGCGACGTGGTGTCCACACCCGCCCGCCCACCTTGAGCCGCGCCGCTGCTGGCCGGGCATGGACGCTGCCGCCGTACCCCGGAGATGAGCGTCCCGGGGGGGGGGGGGGGAGGGGGGGG